CCTCCTTCCAGATTCCTTTCTTCCTTTCTTCTCTTTTCCTTCGGAAGCAGGGAGGAGCAGGGCAGGAGTGGCTTCTTGGCCAGGGGGTCAGACTCGGTTCCTTTAGCGCCCCGAAGGAGCTGGCTTCCCCTCTGCTGGGCTGGGAGAGGAGGTAATTAATGACAGGGAGGCCAGGAGGGGAGAGTGTTCAGGGCTAATGTTGGTATTAATCAGGAGCTGGTCCCCAGCGAGGGATAGGATTCAGCTGGGGCTCTGTGTGTGCACGTGCGTGCGTGTGTGGTGGGGAGTGGGGGGCTATGGGGGACAAGGAGGTCCTGACTCATCCTGTCAGCCTCTCTCCCTCTCCTTAGTGCCCCCCAACCCTCAGCTCTTGCCCTTGTTTTTCTGGAAGTCCCTCCTGCTATCAGTCCTCCAAACTCCTGCTGAGGGAGAGCCAGGGTCCCTCCCCAAGTCCAAGTCCACCCCTGGATATGGGGGTGGGGCAAGCCCCCCCCAAACCTTCTCCAGCTCTTATTGTAGGCGGGCGCATTAGGTGATTCCCGAGGCTGTCAGCCCTGCTAATTGCCTCTCAACCTTCCCCTCATCACCAGGGCGGCCCCCCACGAACTCCATTAGCCCCCCCTCTCTCCCCTGATAGCCCCTAAATCAGCCCCAATTATTCACAGGAGGGGGGGTCTGGGCTGAGCTGTGATTACAGCTAGAGTGGAGGGGGTGACGGATGGGAGCTGAGTGCCAGGCAGACTGGTGGGCAGGCCACAGGCAGGGCTGGGAGGGGGCTTGTGGGCAGATGCAGGCTGGGGACCATCCAGGGGCAGCGACCTGGGAGCCTGAAATAGGGAGGGGAGGCCGGGCTGGGAGGTGGGCAACTGGGGGTCATAGCTTACATTTCAGGGCCCCTTCGCACACACATTAAGACCCAGGAGGGTAAGGGAGGGGTCAGCTGGGCACGCCCCTGAAGAGCGAGTCGTCCTCACCATTGTAATCAGCATCAGTGCCAAGCATCTGGGACAAGCTCAGTTGGAGAGGCAGGGAGAGCGGCAAGAATGTGCTACCCTTTGGGGCTCTCCTGAGAGGACCTCACTGCTCCTTGCAGCCCCTACCCAGGCCAGCCACCTGGCCGTGGGCTGGGTGGGGACATGCCACTCCCTCCCTCACTCTGTGTGTTCTGGCGAGTGCACCTCTGTGGGGCTGTGAGTGAGACAGGGAGTGTCACGTGGGGTGTGGGGTGTGAGGTGACATCTAACCTGCAGTGTGGGAGACGGTGAGACCAGCCTTATGCTCAACTCAGCCGCTCTTTCCAAGCGAGATCCGGGAGCCCTCTCCAGGCCTCTCCAGTTCCTCCAATGGCAGCTGCCTCTGGGACTCCTCAGCAGCCCCCGCCCATCCTGGAGGGAAGAGGCACCCACACTCTGCCCCCTTGCTTCCCTCCGCGAGCGCTCTACTCTGTTCTAAGCCCACATTCTCCTGAGCACCTCCACTGGTCCAAGCCACCATCAGTGCACCCCCCACCCCGCCCCGCATCAGTGCGGCAGCCTCTTCTCCCATATCTCTGCTTCCACTTATGCTCCCTACAGCCTACTCTCAACACAACAGTAATTCTTCTAAAACCTGAGTTGGCTGCCTTCCTTCCCCTGTTCAAAATCCTCTAGTGGCTCTCCATCTCACACAGAACAAAATCCAACAGCCTTACCACAGCCCACATGGCCCTGCAGGATTTGACCCCCATTATACCTCCCTACCACACTCCCTGTCACTCACCTTATTCCAGTCCCCTAGCTAGTCTTTGAACATGGCATATGCTCTGGCCTCAGGGCCTTTGTACTTGCTCTTCCCTGCCTGGAATGCTCTTCCCCCAGAAATCTGTGTGGCTCCCTCCTTCACTTCCTTTACGTCTTCACCTGGAGGTGACTTTCTCAGTGAGGCCTTCCCAGACCGCCTTTCCCCAAACTGCACCCCCAGGATGCCCTGTCCCCCATCCCTGTTTTGTCTCTATTCTTTTTGGTAGCACTTATCATCATCTAATGCGTCATGATTTTAGTGATGGAGGTTATTTATCGTCTCTCCACCAGCACGGCTACCAGAAGGGAAGCTTCATTTTCTACCCTCCATATTGAGGCGAGATTTTGTCTATTTTGTTCATAGCTGCAGCTACATGGCTGGCACATGGTAGGTGCTCAACGAATCTTTATTCAGTGAACGAAGGAGTAATCGACTCTTTCCCCAACTAGCACAGGAGCTCTTTGCAGGCAGGAAACTTTCCTTTCTCCCCTAAATAAGTTATTAAATACAAAGATCTTAAAGGAGCGCCTGGTAATCAGTAGAGTTTATTTCATAAAAATCAGTAGTTGCCATCAACATCATCATTGTTGTCATTTCCTCTGTATCCTGGGCATCTGGTACACACAAGATGAGTGCTTGTGGGACAAAAGGATGAATGAAGACCTTGGGTCCCCTTGTACCTTCCTGGGAGGCAACAGGGGAACTTCCACCCCCTTGGCTATAAGGCCGGGTGCAGGAGGCTGAGCTGGGGTCCAGGAATCTGGAAGAGCAGTGCCCAGGGTGGCAGCCACTCACTCCAACATCCATTTAGCACTTTCTCTGTGCCAAGTCCTGGGATCACAAAGATGATTTCACCGGCTCCGGCTCCAGTCCTTGAAGAACTGAGTGTCTGGGGAGAGAGAGACAACTTACACGTTCATATGCAGGAGTGGGATGGGGAGGGAGATGCTGAGGCTGGAAAAGCTCCCAGAGAAAGGGCAGTGGAGCAGAAGGTGGAAGGATGAGAACTGAGCCAGGTAAAGGAGGGGGGAGGCATGTTCCTCCTCTCAGGTCCTCAGTCTCCCCATGTGCCCCTTGAATGTGCTGGATCTGACAGCTTTCAAGGCCCCTCTGGCCTCCGACACGTTACAACTCTGTAGACTTTGGCTTCTGGACCCTGGAGCTGTGTGCTGGTTTCTGCTGCCCCCTGCTGGGAACTTTCTGTGGCACTGGAGTCGGGAAAAGCCACCTCCAACCTTGCCTTCTTTCCTTCCTTCCCCAAAGGGAGCAGCATCATTCAACCGGCGCCCCTCCTTCCACTCCTCAAAGTGCCAAACTAAACACTTGCTTGTTTCTCAGATAGAAAATATTCTCAATACATATTTTTGACAAAGGACTTGAAACCAGAATACATAAAGAATTCATAACCAGCAACCACACTCCTAAGTAGCTACCAAGATAAATGAGAACATAAGTCCACACAAGACCTGTACACAGATGTTCATAGTAGCTTTATTCATAGTAGCCTCAAACTGGAAAAAACCCAATGCCCATCAACTGGTGTAAAGACAAGACAGATTGTGGTATACCCACACAACAGGATACCACTTAGTGATAAGGAGCTTCGAACTACTGAAAAGCCTTATGGTAAGTGAAAGAAGCCTGGATGGATGAGTACATGAGTCCATTTATATGAAATTCAAGAGCAAACAAGTCTGTAGTAACAGAAAGCAGATGAAAGATTTCACAGGGCTGGGGTTGGGTGAGGATGGAGTTGGGGGTGGGGCATTATCTGCAAAGGGGCTCAAGGGAAGTTTTTGGGGAGAGGAAAATATTTTTTAAATTATTTTGATTGGGGGTGGTGGTTACACAGATTAACACATTTGTCAAAACTCATGGAACAGACATCAAACTAAGTGAATAAGCCAGACACAAAAGGGCAACTACTGTATGATTCCACTTATGTGAGGTACCCAGAGTAGTCACATTCATAGAGACAGAAAGTGGAAGAGAGATCACCAGGGGCTGGGGAGGAGGAATGGGGAGTGACAGTTCAATGGGTACAGAGTTTCCGTTTGGGATGATGAAAACGTTATGGGGACGGATGGTGGCCATGGTTGCACAATATGAATAAACTTTATGCCATGGAGCTGTGCACTTCAAAATGGTTCAAATGGTGAATTTTATGTTACATATATTTTACCATTAAAAAATCTAAAAAACCCTCAACGAACTGTCACTTTTAAGTGGGTATCTTTTTTATCGTACGTCATTTATACATCAATAAAGTTGACTTTACAAGTCTCCACGGAGAGATGTTCCTGGCTTGCTCTTCCTGAACTATCGCCGCTTTTTCTGTGGCAGGCGGTGATTGGCAGAGGGAGCCTTGAGGTCAGACGGACCACAGACCTGGGTTCAAATCCTGCTTCTACCCACGCGGGACATCCATCTCATCCCGTGAATGGAACCAATCTCGAGTTAAGGATTAAACGAAGCGCTACACCTAAAGGGCTAGTGATGGGGAAAGCAAATGTAATAAAAATTCAGTCAAGAGACCGATAAGGGAAGGGTGCCCTAGAGGGGTGGAGGGCAGGTTGCCGCCATCCTCCGGGTCCGCGGTGCGGGCCGTGGGTAGGTGTCCGCTGGCCGCGCGGTGGCGCCCGGCGGAGGCGGCGCGGGGGTGGCGGGGCGCTCGGCTGGAGGGCGTGGGGGCGGGGGGCGGAGGCTCCGCGGAGACCGCCTCCTAGGCTCGCGCCCGCCCTTGGCGCGCTCTGGGGCGGCAGAGAGAGACGAGGCCGTTCCTGGCCCGCCTCTCCCAGACTGGGATGCGCCGCTTGGTCGCCGCGTTGGGTCTTTAATCTGATCACGGTCGTGGGGCCGCACTGGGCAGGTGCCCGACGCAGACCATCTCATTGCGTCCCCTCCACAGCCCCACTTTGCAGACAGGAAAGCTGAGGCAGGAAAGGGGAAACACCCCAAGGCTGCAGAGCTGGTAGAGAGCCGAGGAGGGACTGGGGCCGGGGCCCTGCTCTTCTCCCCTCCTCATCCCCTCCCTGCTCCCGGTCCAGGCCGCCGAAGGTCGGCCCCGCAGCTCAGCCTCGCTGATCCCCCTCGCAGCAGTTTCCCTCCCGGGCGCTCTGCATCTCCCCTCCCCCGGCTCCCGGTTTCCTTGTCAAAACTTCCTGCCTTGGCGAGGGCCCGAGTCCCCACCCCCTTCCTGCCCCCCGCCCCTCCGCGCCCCTCCCCGCCCTGCGATCCACAGCGTTCGTCTCCCCGCCGCTCCCGCAGTCGGGCTGGGGCTCACCGCGGGGACCTCCGCCCTGTCCTCCGGGTCGACCCCCCAACCCAGGCCAACCGAGAGATAGGGTCCCGAGGCAGGTGAGTGACTGCGCGCCCCCGGTCCGCGACCACCCTGCCCCAGGGAAAGGGCGTGCAGACTCTGAGGTCCCTTCTGAACTGGAGTCCGAGCCCCCTGGGCGGGAAGTGGGGAACAAGAGAGACCCACAGAGAGAGACGTGAAGGGATGCTGGCAGTGGAGAGGGTCCGAAGGGAATTGAGGGTTGCCATCCATGATGAAACCACATGTAAATGACATGCAGATGAAGCTGCTTCCCAGCCCCTGTAGCACCGTTGAGTCCAGGGGCAGCCTCCGCCCGGCTTGCCCCGTCTCAGGGCTCAGGGAGAGAGGGTACCAGGTCCTCTACTTGGCTAAAGCGAACGTTAAGAGCACCCACATTGGAGTCAAGGCTGCTTAAGTTCGAATCTCAACCCTACCCCTCACTTAGCTGTGGGACCTTTGTCAAGAGACTTAACCTCTGTGGTTCAGTTTCTCATTTTTAAAAGGGGAAGAATAAAATAGAGTGGCTACCTGGTAGGGTGGTTGTGAGGTTGAGATGAGCAGAAACCTGTCTCCTACTGAGTACAGTGCCTGGGCAGTGTTTTTTATGGCATTGCCTGGCTCCCCACCAGGAGAAATGTTGGAGGAAGGCGTGGAGAAGGGACCCAGGTTTGCAGGCCCCTTTGCCAGTTATGAGGACTGGGGAGTTGGCAAAGGTCTCAGGCATCTGGATCCTCAGAAAGCTGGCTGGGTGATCTGGGGCGGTGCTAATGGCAGGGCTAGTTGGGGGGAGGTCTGGTGGGGGGGGGGGTGGTTAGGCTCCAGAAGACCAAGCCCCAGCAAGGCATCCCTCACCCGCACCCCATCTCCAGCCTCCAGTACTGGATTCTCGGCTCTCCTATTCTGGCCTTTGGTGAGTGGCCTCTCCCGGGTCTGGGCTGTGACCCCAGTCCCCGGGGATGGGAACAGCTTGTGCTGGCCCGAGGTTCCCAGGCTCAGCTAGACCTCGGCTCCAGGCAGGATTGGGCAAGGGGTCAGCTCCTAACCCCAGCCTAAGCTGGGCCTAGGGGGGCAGGGAGCTGCTCTCTGAACCCCACCCCAACCCAATCTGATAGAGTACCTGTGTGTGTGCACATGTGAGCCAGGCTGTGAGGGCAGCTCTTCTGCCTCCTGTCATCTGTCCCCTGCTGCTGCTTCTTCCACTTCTGAGGTCTCCCAGTGTCTACCCATCATACTTGCCACTGCAGTTGGGGCTACCCTCCCTGCTGCCTAGGAACTGGGCTGGCCGGCCAGGCTCGCCTCTCTGTCTTCCTCTCTTCACTGGGAGGTGAAGCCGAGGGTTGGCATCTGTTTTTCCACTCCCCCCGCCATTCTCTATCAGACTTTCCCAGGAGAGGAAACTCTCTCTTCAGGCAGCCCCATCCACCAATCGGAAACCTGGATAGAGATAGAGGTCTCTGGGCTGCTGTCTGCCTCCCGACAACCCCACGCTGCAGGGGTGGGGTGGGGGTGGGGGGGCGAGGCCAGGCAGGGCCTCCACTGCTGTGCTCCCTGGTCTCTCCTCTGACTAGCCTTGGAAGCCTTGAGAAAGAGGCCCGCAGGTGCGTGCGGGGCTCTGGCGGGGTTGGGGGGGGGTGTTGGCTCCACTCCTGGCACGTAACCAGTCTGGGAGAAGCCAGCAGGAGGAGGATGAGAAGACAAGGAAGGAGAAAGACAGACAGAGATATAGAGACATGAATATCAAAACAGACAGACGCCGGCAGACACGAAAACACAGGCTGAGGCACAGAGGCTCCTGGAAACGATAAGGCCCAGAGGGAAAAATGGGCAGACAGAAAAAATAGAGCAGGGACCTAGAGAAAGAACAAGAAGAAGGTGGAGACAGGAGAGATGGAGAGTCAGAAGACCAAAGAGAAACCCTAGGGGGAGAGCACTGGTCCGAATCCCTGCTCAGCTTGGTGGCTATGTGATCTGGGGCAAATTACTTAACCTCTCTGGGATAATTCTTCATCTGCATAATGGGAGACGTAATAGCACCTACTTTATAGGATTGCTGAGAGAATTAACAGAAACGATCCAGCCCGCAGTCTACATTTAACAGGGGTGATAATTGGTATTACAGCACATGCCTGTGGGCATGTGGCACGATGGAAGTCTCCAGAGAGAACGAGCATATGGGTGGGTCCTGGGGCATGAGGCCTCCTGGGTTCCCTCTCCTGCCTCTCCCTCCCACCCAACATGGGGCATCCGGGGCCTAGTCTCTCCATTTAGGAGGAGGAGGTGTGGGGATGGCCAGTGAGGGGGTGTTGTCCCTGGACTGGAGGCTGTGTGGACACACCCCCTCCTCTCCAGGTGACTCAGCGCCTTGCACTACCGTGGACTCATCCCGTAGGAACTTGGAGGCCAGCCCTGAGGAATTCCTGCCCAAGGTCAGGAGGGCAGTTCTGGGCCGCCTTTTGCTTTGTAACGTTGGAAGTTCTGTCTGGACCCCACCTTCCATCGTCTCGCCAGTGCCATGTCTTGAGGGCCCTGGAAGGAGGGCCTAGTTTTGCCGTCTGGTGAGCTGAGGAGCAGCTGCAGCCTCCAGATGTCTCTCCCTCTCCCCGATTCCCTACAAAGTAAGGTGGAGGCTGCCTGGAGTCAGGAAGGATTCCAGGGTTGACCGGTGCATCCACTCCACACATATGTGCAGTTTCTGCTGGGCGCCAGGCCCCCTGGGTGTGTGTGTGGAGGGGCTGGTCTGTGCTGGGGACGCAGGGCTGAGGAAAGCAGAGAAGTGCCCTGACCCCAAGGAGCTCCATTCCAGTGGGGAAGGCACCTTCATGAAAACATCGTAATGACCGTGGCCTGGGAGCTGTGAGGGATCCTCTGGGGGGCGGCTGGCCCACCAATGGAGGCTCAGAGAGGAGTGAGATTGGAGGAAGACCCCACCTGCTGGAGAAGGCAGACTCACAAACTGGCAGTCACAAGACGGGGTTAGTCCATCAGACTTGAGGTGCTTCAGGGCTGGGAACTTCTGGAGGGCCTGGGTTAGTCCCACATATGCCCAGAGGAGGGACATGGTGCCAAGCCTCTGGCTGGAATTTGGGGACGTGTTGGTCTCTGTGGACTGATCCAGCCTCAAGGCAGAACTGGGGGAGAAGAACAACCCAGGTCTGGGAGGGGTGCTGGGGGTGGGGAGTCCCTGTGGGGACTGTGCTAAGAGCCTGCAGGAGGGCCTAAGGGCAGAGAGGATGGGTAAGGTCTGGAGTCGCTGAGGGGGCTTCCTGGAAGAGGCTAGCTTGAAGGATGGGTAGGACCTGGGCATTCTAGGGGTGGCTATGTGGTGGGAGGTACGTGGGGGCAGTGGACTTCCACTGTGATGGGAGCACAGGGCCAGAGGCTGGACACCTGGTGGGTGTCCTTTCCTGTACTGTATTAGAGAGGGGCAGTGACCAGAGCAGAGCTGCGCTTTCTGAGAGTATCTCAGAGTGACTATGAACAGGGTGGGACAGAGAGGGAGCTGCTCCCTGGCCTGTGTCACCCCAGGGGTTACCCTCCACCCACTGCCTTGTTCTTTGAAGTAGATTCTAATCCTGCTGTGGCCTCTGAGGATCGGTCGGCCCTTGGGCAAGTCATTTTACCTGGGACCCTCCGCGGTCTTGCCCGTGAAATGCAGATAACACTCCCCAGCACCTGCAGGAGGTGGCGAGGGCCGGAAGGGCACCGGCGCCAACCTCCAAGTGGCACGTGGTGGATGTTTGGTGAATCAGAAGCCCTCCAGTTTCCCTATTTCCTGATGAGTAAACAGGTCAGGCTGAGGACCCTCCAGCTTCTGTTTCCTGAGCCACAGAGAACACAAGGCCGGCCCCTCACCCCTGCCCCCTTCCCGCCCAGCCTCTGGCGCACACGCAGGCTTCCTGTCGCTCCATCCGGCAGACATGCCTGGCGTGCCAAAGGCCTGGCTTGGCTGGATGAAGGAGGGGCTCTGTGCTTGCGTGTGCAAGTGTGTACACGTGTTCACTGAGTGGCGTAGGGGGCAGAGCCGCCTCTGTGTGGGGAGGGTGGGTAGTCTTCAGACTGGGTTCTCACTGCTGAGTGGGGAGGACTAGATGATCCTGTCTCCAGGGCAAAGATAGGTTAGGAAAGGACACAGAGAAACAGACCCAGAGACTGAAAGACAAGAGAGGAAGAGGGCAAGGCAGCCTTAGCATTAAGCTAAGACATACGGCTTGGTGAGTGGATCGTGGCTGGAGCTCAGCTTCCACTCCACACTTGAAGGTGGATTCCCTAGTGCAGTGAACATCCTGCACAACTGCGCATGGCAGCCTTGATATAGGAAAGGAAGGAGAGAGGCAGAAAGACAGAGACCAAGAAGCTGAGGGAGGAAGGAAAAAAAAGGCAGAAAGCAGAGTTTCTGACGAAGAATGAGACAAAAAGCAAAAAGAGAGAGGCAGAAGGCCTAGAATGTGGGGGATTCTGTTTCTCCATCAACACACATCCACTGAGCAGCCTCTGGTCTGAGGCTCTGTCCAGGGTAGCCCCTGGAACCAGCAGTTCCAACCCTCACTGAACCCTGGGAGATGTGGGGGGTTATTCTCCCATTCTACAGATGGGGAAATGGAGGCTCACAGGGCTCGTGTGACGTGCCTGAGGTCACATAGCCTTCAAATAACAACTTGTAAGTACTGGAACGCTTGGATTCCAAGATGGGAAGGGTAGAGACAGAGACAGAAGCAGAGAAAGAGACAGAGAGAGACAGAGAGATCCAGAGAAGAGAGGAGGGGGCGGTGGAACCAAGCAAGCAGCTGGAGTTGGTGCTCAGGCTGAGGGCTGGGGCGAGCAGAATCTGGGCGTCCTGCCTCATCAACCGCCTGTGGCTTGATGATGTACCTGGCTGGTAGCCCATTGTTCTGGGGGATCAGGTTCTTGGGGGAGCCTGGCCCCCTCCCACTCCCACTTCCTTTCTCTCTGTCAGCATCTAAGGCCCCATTCTCATTCCTGGATCATCCTGGGCGTTCTTCAGAAAAAAATAAAACTGAGAAACAGCTTTTCCTGGAATTAATACTCAAAGGGTATGACAGTGCCAAGGGGAGTGGGGATGGGGCCGTTCTGGGTGCAGGGGGAGTGGGACTGAGGATGCTGTCGTGGAGACAGCTAATGTTAATAGAGCTCTAAGCACTTTATCTGTGTGAACTCATTTGTTAATCCACACAACAACCCTACGAAGGGATCCCCATTTTGTAGATGAGGGAATGGAGAGCCGGGATTCACACGCAGGCTTGAATGGGGGTGGGAGGCGAGGCAGAGCTTAGAGGGTGTCCTTTGCTACCTCACCTCCCAGGGAAGAGAAGCTAGAACGAGCCAGTGGGGAAGTCCCTCTTGCTGTCTCACTTCCATCAGCCCCACTCTTGCTCTCTGTCTTCTATAGAAAGGATCATCTCCTGTCCCTCCAGAGGCCCCAGACTCATTTCCCTCCTCCTCCGAGGGGCTGGGGCACAGTGTGGGTAGGGGGGCTCCCCGCCAGAGGGAATGGGGCTGAGCAGAAGAGCAGGGGTGAGCTGGGTTGGGCTCTGTGTGGGCTTGGAGGCGGAGAGGGCCGGGATCCTGGGGGGCCGTGTAGGCCGGACTGGGGACTTGGGGGCCTGGCCAGGAGCCCAGCTGCTTTGCATCTCGAGGTAGAGGAGAGACGTGTCAGCTCATTCTTAACTGTAAACACATCCCGGGTTCCCACGCCTCTGATCATGTTCTTGCGGTAGCCCCCACCCCCATCCCCTTCTCCTGTCCGGCCCCCTGCCAGTCTCCCCCCCTCCCCATCACTGACGCTGTTAAAAAGAGATGCAAAGCCCCTGGGATTCCTTTTTGGGCTTGGGAAAGACTGGAACCATTGGGAGGCCTCCGCTAGCAGTCTGGGTTTGGATCCAGCTCTGATACTACTGGCTGTGTGGCCTTGGGCAGGTGACTTACCCTCTCTGTGCCTGTTTCATCATCTGTAAAAGAATAATAATACTTCCTACAATGGGTTGACTTAGCTTTAAAGGGGATCATCCATGCAAATCTCTCAGCACCCTCCCTGCCTGTCCCAACAGGGTAAAGGATATATGGGGTCACATTATTGTACTTGTGAGGGAAGATGTCTGGGTCCCTCAAACCAGAGGTGTAGTGGAGGAAGGGCGCTGAGTAGGGGAAACCGAGGGGCATCTGTATGGGAAGAAGAAGTGAGCCTACAGTGGGGGAGATCGGGGTCCCCCTCAGTGAGTGAACTGTGGGCCCCTGGGGCAGAATGGGGAGCTAGTAGTGTCTGATTTAAACCCCTTGGGGTCACTGGATTCACATGGGGCCCAGGGTGGCTGGGTCTGGAGGTGTAGGGGGAGGATGGACCCAGGCCTTAGGTCCCTAGCTCCCCAGGGACAAAGGCTCTGCTGGGAACAGGCTCGGGGCCCAGGCTGGGGCTCTGGGCTCCTGGTCTGGCCTGTGTTCCGTCCTCAGGGACTAAGGCTGGTCAGGCCAAACCCTTCCCCTCCCTGCCAGGATTCCCATCCCATCTCTCCCCTCCCTGCGGACCACCCACTGGTCTCACTTCCAGCCCCACCACTGGCTTGCTGAGGCCTCCTCTGCACTCAGTCCTACTCTGAGGCCCTCTGGGAAAACAGAACCTCCCCATCCTTCCAGCCAGCTGACCTCTGGTTGTTAGAGTCACACCCCTGGGATTGGGGTCAAGCCCTCGTCATGCTCCCCTGCCCACCTCCAGGTCCCTCTCAAAGCCGGCAGGTGAACCATTTCCTCTAGAAGTTGGTTGGGAGGAGGTGGCTGCTGTTGGGCGCTATGTGAATGGGAGGAAGGACTTTCTTCGGGCTGGCAGCCCAACCTACACGACCCCTCCTCTCTGTGCCTCAACTCAGGTCCTTCCTGCTGCGGCTTTCGTCCACCTTGCTGCGGCCTCCAGCTCTGGGGATGGATCCAGGCCCGGGGGCAGCCTGGGGGTCCCTGTGTGGCTGGAGATGAGGCTTACCCAGGGACAAGGGTGATGATCTTGGATCCAGACAGACGGCTCCAATTCGAGGACAGGGGCCCCATGCCAGGGCCACAGCTGGGGTCCAGGCAGAGGGGGGTGTGGAGATGACTGAGGGATGAAGAGGGGGAGATGTGTGGAGGGCGCAGGGTCTAGCCCGTGGCCCTGGCTGCCAAGCATACTCAAGGGAGAGGTGGGGAGAAGGTCAGCTGGGAGCAGACAGGGCGAGCCCTGGAGGTGGGCACTGGGCCTGGAAGGTGGCAGGGGCGGAGGGGATAGTTTGGGGACACTGGGAGAAGGAGCCAACTGTGTTTGGGAGGGGGATGGGGGGGCGTTGGGGATGCTCTGGGGGTGGTGTAGTGGGACAGACTGTGGGATCATCTGAAGGACCCTCCTGACTGTGGCCTGGCTTCCTAAGGACAGGCTGAGTCTCCCCCTCATCCCTTCAGAGTGGGCCACGGTGCTCAGCTCAGGAGACAAGCCACTGGAAAGAGGCTTCTGGCCCTGCTGCCCGAATCCGATCTTCTGAGCTTAGGGTGGTGGGAGGACGGAGCCTGTGAGCATGCTCCCTGCTGCCCTCCCCTACATACACACCTTCTAGCCGGGCTCTGTTTCCTGTTTTCAGGCTCCACATCCTGAGCGCTGGGATCCCCCAGGACACTCTCTGGCTCCCCCAAGGCCCCAGGCCCCAGGGCCACGTTGCCCTGCCCCTGGCTCACCTGAGTTTCTCAGGCCCCAGGATGCCGGAGAAGCCTGGTGAGTTCCTTGGGGACTGAGGATGGATGGGAGGAACACAAAGAAGACTAGAGGTCGGGATTTGCCCTGGGGAGCCATGATGGGGCAACCAGCCAGGGTGAGGAGAGGCATTGCCGCTCTGCACAACTGGAGGGCGGTGGGCAGAAGTTTGCACTGAGAGGGAGGTAACCTGGAGAGGAGAGGTGGGCCAGCCCTAACCGCTGGAAGGATTCCTGGGAGGGAGGCCGTAGCCAGTGAGATGGGGTTAAGTTAGGGAGCGTCTCTCTCGAGCGCTGCCCTGATTGGAGCTGAGAGTGGCTGTGGGGACCCTGGGAGTGTGTGGGTGGGGGGCATGGGGTGGGGCCAGGCAGCAGGCATTCCAGAGATACTCAGGAGGGGTGAGGGGCCAGCAACCGCGACCTTTGTCTCTTCCCGGGAAAAAATTATAAGCAGATGTGGTCGCCTCAAGGAGGCGTAGAGCAGGGAGCCAGGGTAGTCTTAGGAGCGCTGAACACAGAATCTGAAACCCGCCGCGGGGGCGGCAGCTCAGCCCCTCCTGAGCTCAGGAGCGAGAACAGACTCAGCTGAGGTCCTGACCCACTTCCCACCCACTGGGCGAGGCCAGGGGTGGAAGAGATGGAGAGGAGTCCGTTTCCAGATGGCTGCTGGGGTGGTCAGAGGGAGGTGGGGGCTTCTCCTGAAGTCTGAGGCCAGGTTGGGGACCTTGGGTGACAGCACCTAGAGTTGGGTACAGTGGTGTGCTGGCAAGTGTTTAACAACTGGCTTGGATGGGGTTGGGGGGCTGGTTTGTGGTGGTTGCTGATTTCTGTGGTGTAAATAATCCCCCATCTCCAATTTCAAGGTACTAATGTGACGTTACTGAACGAGGAGTTGGGAAGAGATGTGAACAGTTGGCTCTTATGAGTCCGTATGAGCGGGTACCAGCACACCAGTGGTTGGGAGGGGCCTCCTTCAAGGTCACCTGGACCCAGCCCTACTTCCGCCTCCTATAGCAGGAAGCCCCCAGCTGCCTCAGGGTGGTTTTGGCCTCTACCTGCATACATCCAGTGACGGGGAGTTCACCACTTGAGGTAGCTGATTCCATTACTGAACTGCTTTGACTGCTGGAAAGTTTTTCCTCCAACTGAACCCAAGTCGGCTTCTCTTATAACTTCCCCTCGGTGGCTCCAGTTTCAGACCTTGGTACAAATATCAAAGTGCCCTGGGTAGGGGCTGGGCTGCGGGTTGGGGATTCTAGAACAGTGGTATGTGGGCGAATGGTGCTGGGGGCTGCAGAAGGAATAAGGGGCAGTCTGCCAATGGGGGTCGGGGAGCAGAGCAGAGGAGGAGCTATGGTACTTGGGTGGGTACTTGGGTACTTGAACGGTGAGTACTCAAGGTGAGGAATGGAGGGACGACGGCTGGGCAGAGGAGACAGTGTGAGAGAGGCTCAAAGGCGTGGCAGTGCACCACCTAGTCAGGAATGAGACCCGGGGGCTGGAACCCAGGGGGCCTGGGGCCAGAGGACAAGAGGCAGCAGCCTCATCTCTTCTGCCACCACTGCTCAGGTCTCTGCAGACACTGGGTTCTCCAGGTTTGTGACTGCAGTGTCCCTCACCTGCCTGGCCCTGCCACAGGCCTCTGCAATGTCACCACCTCTGCACTCCCTTCTTCTCCTGGCACTGGGCCTGGGGCTGGCTGGAACCCTCAACCCCAATGACCCCAACACCTGCAGCTTCTGGGAAAGGTGAGAGGGGCCCCTGCCGTGCGTCGAGGGCACCAAGCCCCAGCCCCCCATTTCCCCTGCTGGGGATCCTCTTCCTGTTCCTTCCCTTGCCTCCCTCCCTCTCTCCAGCCCTCATCTCCTTCCTGTCTCTGCTTCTGCTCTCTCTACTCCCCGCGATGGGCTGCTTCTGACTCCGTCTCCATCTCTGACCTTGTCTCAGTCTCCATCCTGGCTCTGACCTTGTCCTTTCTTTATCTCCCTCCCTTGGTCGCTGTGGGAGGCGGCTGCAGGACAGAGGCGGAGGGAAAAATGGAAGGCTCTGGTCCTATAGGGTGAAAACAGGGTTTTGTTGAGGGGTGTCTCAGGAACATTCCAATTCTGGGAAGATCCCTCCAGACTTCAGAGATGGAGCAGAATGGGGGGTCCATCCTAGGCTTGAGGGAGCAAGCCCAAATGTAGGGATGGCGGTTCCCCACTGTGGCCAAGACCTCATGTTCCTGTTTCCCATGGTACCCTGTGCCACCTCAGGCCTCTCCCCACCCTGAGCCCCTGGCCCTTCCCCTGTCTTGCAGCTATACCACCACCACCAAGGAGTCCCACACTCGCCCCTTCAGCCTGCTCCCCTCGGAGCCCTGCGACCGGCCCTGGGAGAGCCCCCACACCTGCCCCCGGCCCACGTGAGTGCCCCATCCCCCTCCATGGGCACCTGGGCTGCCTGAGTAGCTGCCTTGGCCTGGCCCCTGGCCCTCCACTCCCCCATTCTCTCCTCAGGACATTTCAAGTTTAGAGGAAGCATCTGGCCTCCATGCACTCAAGGCGAGGTGTGGGGGTTTGTGTGGAGGGTGTGTGTTTGGGGCGTGCCTGCATCACGTACGGTGTGTGTGTGTGGTTAAGTAAGGACCAAGGAGGGGATGCTCTTTCTATGCTCCCCCAGCCCAGAGCATTGGACATGCCCCCAGGCCTCTCCGAGTGCTGCACTGTAGTGAGGGTAGTAGTGCGGGACACCGTAGTGAGGGACAGCTGGGGCCACCTTCCGGGTCTTCCCCAGGGTTGTCTACCGGACTGTGTACCGCCAGGTGGTGAAGACGGACCACCGCAGGCGCCTGCAGTGCTGCCGGGGCTTCTACGAGAGCAGCGGGGCCTGTGTCCGTGAGTCCTGGGTAGGGCCAGGGAGGGGACGGGGTGGAGCCATGGAACGCAGTGGCCTAGTCCACCCTCCTATTTGTTCCCTGCCCCCCAGGGTAGGGCTACCCCTCTGCCCCTTGGGTTTTCTCCCCCTTCTCTCGCTCCACCTGGCTTTATCCCTGGGTCCTGATGAGTATTTCCCTCTCAGCTGCCACTTCATACCTCTGTCTCTGGCTGCTCCCATGGTTCTCTCATCCCCTCTCTCCATGTCCCTCAGCAGTCTCTGTCTTTGAAGCTCCATCTGTCCGGAGCTCTCTTTCTTCTCTGGGCTGCCTGTGTCTCTCTCACTGTGTGTCTGGGGCCTTGGTGTCTGGGTCCATCTCCATCTCTTCCTCTCCCTGTCTCTGACTTGTCGCTGTCCAGTCTCCTGCCCCCTGCCCCCCAGCATCCTGAAACCCCCAGACTGGAGCCTACTCTGCCTTTCTCCCCTTCCCTCAGTGCCGGCCCGTCGCCTGAGACTCCTGCCCTGCCTGACCACCCCCTAGACTTCTACCCTCTTCCTGGACAGCACCCATATGTAGGTCTTCCAGAGAACCCCCCTCCCCATTCTCCCAACAAGGTGCTTGGAGAACTTCACAGAAAGGGGCTGGGAAGCCCAGAATCCTGAGATCTTGTTAAGTCCTGACCTGAGCTGCTGCCCCTCAGTCTTTCTGCATCTCAGAGGCAGAATTCATGCTTGGAGAACTCCTGGTCTTGGGTGTGGAAGGAAGATGGGATTAGGCTTCAGAGGACAAAAGGTGGGTGGGGACAGGAGTGGAAGCATCTTCTCACGCCCCCCCATCTCTGCCCCAGCGCTCTGTGCCCAGGAGTGTGTCCATGGCCGCTGCGTGGCACCCAATCAGTGCCAGTGTGTGCAAGACTGGCGGGGCGATGACTGCTCCAGTGGTGAGTGGCTGGTGGCTTCAGGGACACGGGACCCTTGGGCAACCCTCCCTACCAGGGCAAAGGTACTTAGGACCCCAGGGCAATTACCCCCCAGAGCCCCATTGCAGCGAGCTGCCCTTTCCGGAGATGTGGTACATCGGATGCGCCAAGCTGGGCATGGGCATGTGTGTGGGGGCTGGGAGATAGACGGGGACTAACTGGAGACTAGAAGGGGCAAGAGCCCTGCTGACCCCCTTCCACCCTCCTCATCCCACAGCATGTGCCCCAGGAATGTGGGGGCCACAGTGTGACATGCCCTGCAGCTGCGGCAACAGCAGCTCCTGTGACCCCAAGAGTGGGGCATGTTCCTGCCCCTCTGGCCTGCAGCCCCCGCACTGCCTTCAGCCCTGCTCCCCTGGCCGCTATGGTCCTGCCTGCCAGTTCAGCTGCCAGTGCCACGGGGCACCCTGTGACCCCCACACTGGAGCCTGCTTCTGCCCCCCAGAGAGAACTGGGCCCAGGTGCGTAATGGGGGGGGGGGGGGGAAACACGATAATGGGGCCACAGATACAGGACCACATGGGCATACATGGAGTTACGAGGGTACTCAGACAGGATCCCAAATGTGGGGATGGAGTCGAGAGGCCAAGATCCTAGTCCCAGCCCTGCCACTCACTAGTTGAGCGACTGAGAAAATCGTTGACTCTTCACACGCTTGTTTCCTGTCTTTAAAATGGGAACAGTATTGTCACCTAGAAGGGCTGCTGCGAAGAGAACATGAGCTAGTGTGTGTGAAAGCACGTTGTCCAGTGGGGCTGAGACACGCACCCAGAGAACCCTGCTGTCAGGCAGGGTGAAGGGCGGGCTGGACAGTCACAGGAGGGAGAGGGGGCACCCAGGTGGAGAGCAAGGGCCCAGCTTCCCGGAGGAGCTTGGGAGTTGAGCCCTGCAGGACACAAAAATTATGGCAGGCAGAGGCATTCTCCTAGAGGGAACAGCACGGGCACATGAGGAGGTGGAGAATGTGGAGGTGGAGTGGAGGGCATGTGGGGAGCAGACCTGCCACCCATGGCTCTTCACTACCCTACCTGGTGGAGCTGGGTGTCCCTGCCATTTCCAGTTCTGGACACCTTTGCTTTTTGACTCCAGCAGTGCCCAACAGGGAAGAGGGGTGGGGCTCAAAGGGCAGGTGTGAGGAGTCCCCTGCATGGTCAGTTAGCCCTTGGAGGCAGAGCCCTTGGAGGCAGTTAGCCCTTGGAGGCAGAGCCCTTGGAGGCAGTTAGCCCTTGGAGGCAGAGCCCTTGGAGGAGGCAGGTGCTCCTCATTTACCCACTCATGGCCGCTCTGCCCAGCAGCTGTGAGGTATCCTGTCACCAGGGCACTGTTGGCTTCTCCTGCCCCAGCACCCATCCTTGCCACAACGGGGGTGTCTTCCAGGCCTCCCAGCGCTCCTGCAGCTGCCCGCCTGGCTGGATGGTATGAAGGGGGTGCCTCTGGTATACTCTGGGAGTCTGGGGAGAATTCTGTGAATGGTTCTCAACAGGGCGTCCTCGAGGATGTGCATGAGTGGGGTGGGCTCTGTGGGCCCTGGAGAGGTTTGAGGGCTCCAGGTATGGGGGTATCAAGGGATCCTGTAGCCATGGGGAGGAGGCTGGGCACCTAGAGCTCTGGCAACCTCTCACCTCCACAGGGCACCATCTGCTCTCTGCCCTGCCGGGAGGGCTTCCATGGACCCAACTGCTCCCAGGAATGTCGCTGTCATAATGGCGGCCTCTGCGACCGATTCACTGGGCAGTGTCGCTGCGCTCCCGGCTACACGGGGGATCGGTGAGTGACGTGGGCTAGGGCGAGCGGAGGAGTGGCGGGGGCGGGCCAGGAGGAGGTGGGCGCGGCCGGGCTCACTCAGCTAGGCGCCCAGGTGCCGTGAGGAGTGCCCCGTGGGCCGCTTCGGGCAGGACTGTGCCGAGACGTGCGACTGCGCCCCGGGCGCCCGCTGCTTCCCGGCCAACGGCGCGTGCCTCTGCGAACACGGCTTCACCGGGGACCGCTGCGCTGAGCGCCTCTGCCCCGACGGCCTCTACGGCCTCAGCTGCCAGGTGCCCTGCACCTGCGACCCGGAGCACAGCCTCAGGTGGGCCGCGGGACACTGTGGTCAAGGGGTTAAGAGGCCAGTGCCCTTCGGTACTGAAGCCGCCAGAGTCACGAAAAGCGTCAGGGCATATCCAAGGGCGGGACAGATGTCAAGGAAGGGAAAAGGGCGGGGCCTCAGGGGCGGGGCCTCGGTGCGCTCTCGGCACAGCGCCGAGCCTGCCTGCTGACCCCTCACTGGGCGATGCCCGACTCCCACCCCACGTCGGGGTCGGGGAGGTCGGCCTTTGCCCCCTGGCTCAGACCGCGCGGCGCCCCCGTCTCCGCCTGCAGCTGCCACCCGATGAGCGGGGAGTGCTCGTGCCTGCCGGGCTGGGCGGGTCTCCACTGCAATGAGAGCTGCCCGCAGGACACGCACGGGCCGGGCTGCCAGGAGCACTGCCTCTGCCTGCACGGCGGCGTCTGCCAGCCCGACAGCGGCCTCTGCCGGTGCGCGCCAGGCTACACGGTGAGGCGCGCCCCGCCGCGAGGAAGGGGGAAGAGGCCGAAGAGCCGGCCCGCCCTGCTCATTAGTCCGCCCACCCCCATTCAGGGCCCGCACTGCGCTAGCCTCTGTCCCCCGGACACGTATGGAGTCAACTGCTCCGTACGCTGCTCTTGCGAAAACGCCATCGCCTGCTCGCCGATCGACGGCACTTGTGTCTGCAAGGAAGGTAATGGGGTGGGGTCTCCGGGAGGGGCGATTGGGGGGGCGGGGCCGCGGTTAGAAAGGAAAGTCCAAGGGGAAAGGCTGCAGGGTAAGGGCGGAGCCACTGGGCAACAGCTGGAGGGTGGGAAAGCAGCCAGGCTCCTTCCTTCCTGGAATATCCATTTTGCTTTTCTTCAACCACAAAACTCCTACTTGTCCTTAAAGGCCCAGGCCAGAAGGCACCTCTTCGGTGAACATTTCTCACTTTCAGTCATACAGAACCAAACAACAGCCATGCCACGAAGGACACCCAAGATCTACCAGAGGTGGCACTGTTGGCAGCCTTTCGGCTGGGTTCTGATACCCCGTTTGGCCAGCTCTCTGTTATATCTAGCAACCTTCCAGTCTGCAGCCCCCACTTCTCCCTTTTGCCTTCCACATGGTCTGGATGACTCATTTAGTTACCTGTCGGGGACTCTCTCAGCATTTGGGTCTGCTGCTCCCCTTCATTTTGCACAAGAGGCACACAAGACCCAGACCCAGAAGTGGTGGTGTGTCACCAGCAGTCACTTAGCCTTCTATGCAACACCTAACAGTTTACATGCTTATCTCTTGTATGGAGCCATGAGCAACCTACTCCCACCCGCAGCTCAAAGTACAGAGCTCGGCACAGTGAATGCCCACTGTGTGCTTGCTCAGGAGGGGAGCTGGGTCCCCATACCTATGTGCAAGGCCCCTCTTCCAGGTTGGCAGCGTGGTAACTGCTCTGTGCCCTGCCTGCCTGGAACCTGGGGTTTTGGTTGCAATGCCAGCTGCCAGTGTGCCCATGAAGCAGCCTGCAGCCCCCAAACTGGAGCCTGTACCTGCACCCCTGGATGGCATGGGGTTCACTGCCAGCTCCCCTGCCCGGTAATTGCCCAACAGCCTGCCTGCCTGGGGGAGGGGAGGGCAAAGCACCCCCCAATAGACTGGCCTGCCCTACCCTCCACTCCCTCTCCAAGAAGGGGCAGTTTGGTGAAGGCTGTGCCAGTCGCTGTGACTGTGACCACTCTGATGGCTGCGACCCTGTTCATGGGCACTGCCAGTGCCAGGCTGGCTGGACAGGTGAGCATTCTGGGTGTCCAGGCTGCAGGCCTACTGGGGAGTTGGGGGATGCATACTACCAGACATATGTCCAGAAGAACCCCTGTGGAAGGAGGGGGCCAAGGTCAGGCTCACTCTACCCCCCGCGTTCGCAGGAGCCCGCTGCCACCTGCCCTGCCCTGCGGGCTTCTGGGGGGTCAACTGTAGCAACACCTGCACCTGCAAGAATGGGGGCACCTGCATCCCTGAGAATGGCAATTGTGTGTGTGCACCCGGATTCCGAGGCCCCTCCTGCCAGAGACGTGAGGCTCCCTCCCCTCCCCCCGCCTGCCAGCTGTAGGGTGCAGTGTCAGATGCCAGCGCCCCCACTCTCCCCTCTTGGTCTCCTCCCCTGTCTCCAATCTTTGGGCCAATTACTGCAGTGGGAAGGATGGAGGGAGACAGTGGGGTCAAGGACTGACTGAGGGTTGGCTCCTGCCCCCAGTCACCACAAACCCCTTTCCCCCAGCCTGTCAGCCCGGCCGCTATGGCAAACGCTGTGTGCCCTGCAAGTGTGCGAACCACTCCTCCTGCCACCCCTCGGATGGGACCTGCTACTGCCTTGCTGGCTGGACGGGCCCTGACTGCTCCCAGCGTACGTGGTGGCTTGTGTGTCTGAGCACATGTGCATGTCGAGAGGGTGGGCTGAGGACCCGAGGCTCCTGTCCCCCTGCTCCCGGGTATAAAAGCCTCTGGACCTGCCTCGAATCAGTCACTTATACAAACAATATAAACGAATATTTATTTATTGGGCATCACCTACATGCTGGGTACTGTTCTAGGTGCTGAGCATGCAACAAGGAACAGGTCAGGGAAAAATATCCCTGCCTTCTGCATGGGAGCCTGGGAAGAGCAGTATTTGTACGTGGTGGGGAGTGGGAGGGAAACTATAGCTCAGCTTTGGATATGTTCTTTTTTTTTTTCTTTGGCATTTTTCAATTTATTTTTATTTATTTATACATGGCTGCTTTCCCACTTAAATATATGAAGAACATCATGGAAAAGAGCAGTCAAAAAACTGAGTAAAATAAATTTTGAAAAGGGGAAATGAGAAGCTGTCACTATGAGACAGGCTGGATATAAGCTCATCGGCAGGCGAGGTAGAGGGATGGGATCTTGGCAAAGAGTTTTTCCATAGAATTTGGTAACACCTACTATTAGATTATTTGCTAGTGTCTCCGATACACAAAAATTATGCCTTAAATAGAAGTGACACTTCTTTCTTATGTTTAAAAAAAGTCCAGAGCTAAGCAATGCTGGGTGCTGGAAGCCTTTGGTTTCCGGGCCTGGTCACATTATTTCAAAATGGCTATTGGGTAGTCAAGTGCAGATGCTGAGGAGGCAGCCGGGCACATGGGGCTGGACATGAGCATCTGTGAATCATCAGTGTGCAGAAACATTCAAAGCCTTGGTGTCCCTGGGGAGACCAAAGCTGAGCAGAAGATTTTCGTGATGCTAGGGGCTGAGAATTCATCCAAGAGGGGCTTGCCCTCCCCTGCCAGACATACACCTTGTCTCCTGCAGCATGCCCTCTAGGACACTGGGGAGCCAACTGTGCCCAGCCCTGCCAGTGTCGCCATGGTGGGACCTGCCACCCCCAGGATGGGAGCTGTTTCTGCCCCCCAGGCTGGACTGGACACCTTTGCTTGGAAGGTACCAACAGAAGAGGAACTCCATGCCCCTGTCCCCAAGTGAGCCCTAGTTTGTGGAGCAGACTGCAGTTTCCTTGCCCCTCTGATCCCCGCCTGCCTCCTTGCCTCTCTCCTAGGCTGTTCTCCAGGGACATTTGGTGCCAACTGCTCCCAAGCATGCCAGTGTGGTTCTGGAGAGAGGTGCCACCCGGAGACTGGGGCCTGTGTGTGTCCCCCAGGGCACAGTGGTGCCCCCTGCAGGATTGGTGAGTTCTCCTCCAGGCCCCAGGGAACCAGGACACAGATAACTGCCCGGGTGTCCACCAGGACCTCGAGCCCTCATACCACCCTGCCTTCCCTACGGGGGCCTCTCCCATGCATGCACCTCAAGCTCTCCAGCAGAGCCAGGACGCTGTCCTGAGTGACCGCCCCATCCCACGTAGGAAGCCAGGAGACCTTCACCATAATGCCTACCTCTCCAGTGGCCTATAACTCGCTGGGGGCAGTGATTGGCATTGCAGTGCTGGGGTCCCTGGTGGTGGCCCTGGTGGCACTGTTCATTGGCTACCGCCATTGGCAAAAAGGCAAGGAACACCAACACCTGGCAGTGGCCTACAGCAGTGGGCGACTGGATGGCTCCGAGTACGTCATGCCAGGTGAGCTGGCCTGGGGGTGGGGGACACACATGACTGGCTGGCTCATAGGCTGAGGGTGGGTGGGGTGTGGGGGCTCCTGCGTCCCCTCCTGGACCCAGGAGATGGGAAGTGGAGAGTTAGAGGGAGGAAGGGAGGCCAGAGAGGCATATTACTGATCTCCTGGGACAGAACAACTCTCTTGGGCCTGGGCCTGTCTCTGAGCTGGCAGGTCATGCTGCACCTGTGTCTGTTCGTGCAGATATCCCTCCGAGCTACAGTCACTACTACTCCAACCCCAGCTATCACACCCTGTCACAGTGCTCACCTAACCCCCCGCCCCCGAACAAGGTCAGTGCTGGGGGAAGGGACGCAGAGGGAGGAGTGCAGACCTGGTTCTTTGGAAAGCTCTATCCTTGGATGTTTCTCTCCCTACTCTACCCCTCCCCTATCAGGTTCCAGGCGGTCAGCTCTTTGCCAGCCTCCAGGCCCCTGAGCGGCCAGGTGGAGCCCATGGGCATGACAACCACGCCACCCTGCCTGCTGACTGGAAGCACCGCCGGGAGCCCCCTCCAGGGTCTCTGGACAGGGGTAGGAGGCTGGAGGCCAAGGCCTCTGGTGAGGGTAGACGTGTGCAGCCCAGCATGCTGCTCTATCTGAGTGTGTGTGTCTGCAGAAGGGGGTTCTGGGCCCAAGTTCCAGAGGAGGCGGGAGCCAGGGAGGGGACCTGGGGTTGGATTGCACGTTGCCTCCTCTTCCCCAGGTAGCAGCTGCCTAGACCGAAGCTACAGCTGTAGCTACAGCAACAGCAATGGCCCAGGCCCGTTCTACAGTAAAGGTATGGGCACAGCGGGAAGCAAGGGAGGGGGCTGAACTTGGGTTTAGGAGCCAGTGGCTCCACTGAGCTTGATTTCTTTCCCCTATCCTTAGGGCCCATCTCTGAAGAGGGGCTGGGGGCCAGCATGGCATCCTTGAGCAGTGAAAACCCCTATGCCACCATCCGGGACCTGCCCAGCCTGCTAGGGAGCCCCCGGGAGAGCAGCTATGTGGAGATGAAAGGCCCTCCCTCAGGATCCCCCCCCAGGAAGCTTCCTCAGCTCCGAAACAGCCAGAGGCAGCGACACACCCAGCCACAAAGAGACAGTGGCACCTATGAGCAGCCCAGCCCTCTGACCCATGGTGAGCCCTCCTTCTCCGCTGGGGCAGGGACTAGAGAGAACGGGGACAAGGGAGGTAGAAAGAGAGAAGGGATGCAGAGAGAGAATACAGAGGCGGCATCACGTGGCAGCAAGAGCAAGGCCTTTGGGGTCAGACTTGTGCCATCCCTGGCATGATGTCTGGAAAGTCACATTGCCTCTTAGAGCCTGTGAGTGGTGGTGCCTACCTCTCAGGGCTGAGGATTTGAAATGGTGGTTGTACAGCGGCTGAGTTGTGGAGTTGGTACCCAGAAAAGTGGAGAACAAGGCAGGTGACAAAGTGTCCTCCTATCCTGTGAGGTGGGCAGGTCCAGGTGGCCTCCCCCACTGGAGCTGAGGAGCTGCACACACTGGCCTCTAGCCAGGCACCATCTTTGGGCAGAAGAAGCTGGAGATGGCAGGAGAGTGGGGAGAAGGGGAGGAGTCACCTTCCCCTCATCCTGTCCCCTCTCTGTCTCCAGATCGAGACTCTGTGGGCTCCCAGCCTCCCCTGCCTCCAGGCCTGCCCCCTGGCCACTACGACTCACCCAAGAACAGCCACATCCCTGGACACTATGACTTGCCTCCAGTACGGCATCCTCCATCACCCCCACTTCGGCGCCAGGACCGTTGAGGGGTCAAGATGGTGTACAGAAGCCAGCACACCTATTCTTTGCTGCCCACGGCTGGGGACAGAGCCCCCTGTACCCTGCCAGGAGCAGGGAGAGGATGGGCAGGCCGTAGACATGAACATGTTTCATAGAGGAAGTGAATGGAAAGGGCATGGGAGCCTGGCTCCCAAGTTCCATCAAGAGAGACACTGGTAATCAGGAAGTCTGTGTTCCCTGTCCCCAAGACACTGCTCCCCAAGGTCCCAGGGCCCTGTGTATATAAACTAGTGGGCTGAATGGTGCTGGGTAACTCTGATTTCAGATTGATGTAAAAAATGTATATGGGGTACATTTTGTGTGCACTCACAGGCTGGGCCCTGTGTGTGAGTGTGTGTGTGTGGGTGGGTGTGGGTGGGTGGGTGGGTGGGTGTGCGTGCGCCTGCGTGCATGTGAGTGATTTCAGAGGAGTACCAGGCACAGGTCCTGTCCTAGGGCACTCACCATTAGTTGAGAGACAGCCCAAACCCAGTTAACTCTAGCAATGGCCTAACTGGCCTCCCCGCATTCCCTTGCTACCCTTCCAACAAACGGCTCAAAACACAAGCTGGTCAGGTTACCCCTGCCTGAAAGTCTTCATGGGTGCTCCATTGTTCTTGGGCCAGAGTCAAAACTGTCGAAGGCCTTAAAGGCTCTGCTGGCCTGGCCTGTCTCTTCAGCCTCACTTTGAACTGTGTTCCCTGTTACTCCACTCCCGTCACAATGGCCTCTAGGTCCTGTTAGCCATGCTTCTTCCTATCGCGGGGACTTTGCACATCTGGAATGCTCTTCCTCCTCCACTCACCTGTTAAGGCCTACTTATCCTCCACATCCCCTCCTCAGGGAGGCACCTCTCTTTCATAGCGCTGATCCCAACTGTGTTCACTCACCAGATACCTGCGGAAGGCCTCAGGGTGCCAGGCGCCCCTGTAACATGTTGTTTCTGGATGTGATTCTTTGATTAATCTCTGCCACTACCCCCCAACCCCCACAGACTGTAAGTTCCCTGAAGGCAAGAGTCCTGTGTTTATGCTCAACATTGGTTCCCTTTGGCACATAGTAGAACTCAATAAATGTTCCTAAAAAGCTGAGTGGCCGAGTGAATTAAAAGTACCAGCAGTAAGTGCTGGCAAGTACTCAGATGGGCAAGTTGTGTGCTCTGAGAACTAATAGACTTTATCAGTGGAAGCCTTCCCCAAAGGGTGGCTTTTTTTTTTTTTTGAGGAAGATTAGCCCTGAGCTACTACTGCCAATCCTCTTCTTTTTGCTGAGGAAGACTGGCCCTGAGCCAACATCCATGCCCATCTTCCTCTACTTTATACGTGGGACGCCTACCACAGCATGGCTTTTGCCAAGCGGAGCCGTGTCGGCACCGGGATGGGAACCGGCAAACCCAGGGCCGCTGAGAAGCAGAATGTGTGCACTTAACCGCTGCACCACCTGCCGGCCCCAAGGGTGGCATTTCTACAGGGGAACAGCACAAAGGCTCAAAGGCGGGAAGGTGTTGGGAGTGGCAGTGGGGTGCAGAAGCTGAAGGCAGGAAGGCAGACAGGAGACGGTATACTCAAGTAGGGGCCCAGCAGCGGTCAGGGTCTAGACTACCTGAAGACTTTGAACTCAAGATTTCTAGGAAGCTTGGCCCGCCTCATTAACTCATTAGCGGATTTAATAAGTCCCCAGACCTCTAGGAGGCTAAATAGATGGGGTCGAGAATAGAAACCCAACGCTACACCAACTCGGTGGGTCTCTGGGCTTTTCCCACCAGGAGACCTCTCCTTACAGAATAAGAGGGTGGGCCCAGGGGAGTGGATCTGCTCCCAACTGGACTTTCCCTTCCTAGATTCCTCTGACTGCCGCGATCTCTCATAAGCCGGGCCGGCTCCCCGCTTTCCTGTGCTCAGTTTCGCGGGTGACTTTGGACGGCTCCTTGCCCGCCCTAGCCCCATCCCTCCATCCTGGTCTCGCCCTAGCCCCGCCCCTCCCTCCCGGTCTCGCCTAGCCCCTCCCCTCCCTCCCGGTCTCACCCTATCCCCATCCCTTCATCTCGGCCTCGCCCAAGCCCCGCCCCTCCATCCCGGTCTCGCCCTAGCCCCGCCCCTTCGCCTTGGTCTCGCCCTGGCCCCTCCCGCTGCGTCCGGGCCTCATCCTAGCCCCGCCCCTCCCTCCCGGCCTCGCCCTAGCCCCGCCCCCTCTGCTCCAGTCCCTCCACCACTGCCCCGCCTAGGTCCCGGGCCGCTCTAGGCCCTGACCCTTTGCACAGAGGCCGCAGGACCTTGCCCTCCAGGGATCACCTGCCCCTGTGGCCTCTGGCTCCCCTAGTCCTACCTGCCCCGCCCTGGCCCCGCCCTTCCCACCCGCTCTAGCTCCGCGGCTCCGCCCTTGGGGATCACCTACGCCCTTCTCTGACTCTGCCGCACCCCCTGTCGGCCCCGCGTGTGCTTTGCGGCTGCCTGTTTCCCGCGGGCCCGCGCACCTCGCGCGGTTGTCATGGAGATGGACGCGGAGGCGACGCCACTGCCGGTGGGTCGGGTCGGTGGACGCGGAATAGCGACCCCTGATTCGGCCACCTGTAGGGCGAGCCCCACAGAGTCCCGTCCTGCCTCTTCGCCCCCGTGAGGGTCCCCAGAGTCGCTGAAAACCGCGTCAGCATGTCAGGAGAGACGAGCGCGCCGGGGGCCTCCCCCAGGGCCCCGCGTCCCGCGACCCAGAAGTCGTCCGGCACAGTGACCAAAAAGGGGGATCGCGGGGCCAAGGAGAAGCCAGCGGCTGTCCTACCGCCGGTGGGCGAGGAGGAGCCCAAAAATCCTGGTACGCTGGCGGCGGGGTTGGGGGATTAGGCCTCCAGGTTGCAGCTCTGCCCTCCCGCCACTGGAGGTGTGGGGCCTTGGGCACGTTTCTTCTCTGTAGTGTGGAGGTGTGAGTCCTGCCTGCCTACCGGTGTGGAAGAATGGAGGTGATGGTGAGAAAGTACTTTGTAAACTGCAAATTCATTTGTTCATTCAACAAGCATCTATTATGCACTCACTGTGTGCAGAGCTCCGTGCTCCACCTTGGGACATGAATCACAGTTTTACTTCCAGCATAGTTCCTGAATCTCAGCTTGGCAGATGTTTGAATCGAACTTGATCTTAAAGAACCCACACTGTGGTTTGGGATGCTGACAAATACAATAATATGTGATAAGATGTATAAGAGAAGAAGGCCCAGGGGGTGATGGGAGGACACAGGGGGACTACAGGAGGTGACTTTGAGTTGAGTTTTATAGATACTCATTCATTTACTCAACAATTACTTTTTGGATGCCTGCCCTGCAGCTAGGTCCAATACAGAGAGAACAAGATGGACACAGGCCAGCCCACATGGAGTTTACATTCTCTGGGAAAAGAAAACCATGGGAAGAGTATAAGTAGAAGTGTGGCTCTTCATGTTGCAATTGGTAGAGCCCAGCCCAAACTAATTATCCACAAAGGAGCGTTTATTGCAAGGCTTCTTGACTCAAATCCACCAGCTTTGCCATCAGAGAGGGCCAGGAACTTGCTGTCCCTGGACTCACGGTAAAGCAACTTGGGAAAAAGGCTCTGATTGTCAGGCCCTGGTCAGGTGCCATCTCCTTGTCAGTCAGTATTTGTGGCTGGGGGAGAGAACTATGAGAGCTGGAGAAACAGCATTTCCAGAAGGAGAGACAAGATAGTATAGGAGGAGGAGCTGGCAGGAGAGGCTGATCAGCCTTAGGGCAGCGATGTAGGAGAGAGTAGGGGTCGTGACTGCACAGTGACCCTGGACAGGGCAACACGGAGGTCATGGCGGCTCTAGCAGGCGCCATTGTGTGCTGTGGCAGGGTCAGACGCAGGGCTCAGATGAAGTAGAGAATGACGGCAGACAGTAGGAAAGTTTATAGATTTAGAGGAAATGCCATCTGCTGGCTTCTGTTTCTCAAGAAGCTTCAAGTCAAGGTCATTAGGGAGCGTGAGGAAGGAGTGTGGGAGCCGAGGAGAGCAGGAGCAAGCCCCTTGAGAGCTGCACTGTCCACGAGGTCACTACCATTGTGCAGATAGAGAACGTTTCCATTCTGCCATGACATTCTGTTGGGAAGTGCTGTTCTGCAGCAGCAGTGCTCAAGGTGCTGTCCTTGGACCGGCAGGTTTGGCATCGTCTGTGAGCTGGTTAGAAAGTGAATTCATGGACTCTATCCAGCCTATGGAAGCAGAATCTCTGCGGATGGGGCCCAGGAAACTGTGTTTTAACAGGCTTACAGATGGATGTTAAAGTTTGAGAATCTTTGTTGTAGAGAAAGGTGGTGTGAGTGAGGCAAGGAAGGGCTGAGGGGCTCTCCCAGCAGAGGGAACAGCCCCAGGAAAGCCCGTGCGCAGGAATCAGCTGTACAAGGGGCTTAGCCCAGCCTCCCGGGGCTGCCTCCCCTCTGCCTTGTCCATTCAGCTGATGTTTCTCGGGCGTCCGTGTTCCCCCTGATGGCTGGGCGCATGAGGAACATGTCTCTCATCCCTTTGCCACAAGAACGCTTAAACCTCTCTACCTCCTGCCCCGACACATGCTGAGCACCTGTCCTCCCCTGTCCCTCCCCACCCTCGGGGCAGGCTACCTCCTGTTAGTGGCTGGAGTGCTCTCTGGGCACAGCCCCTGCAGTCCCTACTGCCCAGGGCCTGGATGATGTTGCTGTGGGGGGTCCAGGATGCCTAGCCAGCAGGAAGCTAGCCCTCTGCCTCCAGCTTCTCCCATTTGCCAGGGACACCCCTTCCCATCTCCAACAACCACTTCTTCCTGGGATGCCCATGGGGGAGCAGGAAAGAGCTGGGATCTCTGGGGACCCAGACAGCTCCGGTTTGCATAGCCCTCAGGATGGGATGTGGTGGGCATCTGTCTGAATTAATATAACTCTTGAATGAGTTAATATTCCTAAGGCATTTAGAAAAGTGTGGGACAGGGGTAAGTGCTATATAAATGTTTGCTAAGTAAATAAAAGCCTGCCACCCTGCTGGAATGTGGTGTCCATGTGTAGGGGTGGTAGTGGGAGTGGAGAAGTACTGGTGTTCCTTCCTTGGCTCACATCAGGCCTGGAGCTTCTTTCTCCGTGTGACCCTGAGCAGTCCCAGCAAGGAAGGGACATAGGAGGCTGGGCTGGGGAGGTGGAGCCCCGTGTCCCCCCGCCCCGCCCCCCGCGGGAACAGAGAGCCGGAATGGAAGAGGCTTTGGCCCATGGGGCGGGTGGAGGAGCGCGCACAGAAAAGAGGTGCCCGGCTTGCCTACATTCCACACCCTTTAGTCTCCTTTCTCCCAGGTCTTGATTTCCCACTGTTTCCTCTCAAGTGTTTTCAGCGTCAGTCTTTACAATGCATCTTACATTAAAAAAACGGCTGTAAGGATGTCCTTCCCTGCCTCTCTCCTCCCCGCCCCGCAGAGGAGTACCAGTGCACCGGGGTCCTTGAGATCGACTTCGCCGAGCTCTGTACGCTGTCTGGCTACACCGACTTCCCCAAAGTTGTGCCCCGGCCCCGCCCGCACCCGACCTTTTTCCCCTCCGCTTCTATGTCGGAAAAGCCCACCCAAGGTGAGTGACAAGGGAACCCCCGGGTGCCTGCCAGAGCCACCTCGCCCATCCCCAGCCTCCCATCGCACGGTGGGCCGAACGGCGGGGGCGCAGGGCAGTGTGAGAGAGTGAGGGGGCGGATGGGGAGGTGGGGTTGTCTCCCGGCTTCCTTCCCAAACCCTCACAGACGCGGCCCTGGCCCGAGAAGCAGCGCCCCCAGGCGAGCGCCTCTCACACCTGCGGAGTCCTCCCATCCCGCCGCCTCGGTGGGAGCCGTCCCTGCCTCTCGGGCACCCGTGGGCTGGCCGGGCGTGCGGCCCGGGGCGGTGGCTCTGTCCCCTCCCTGCTCACCCCATCTCCTCGCACCCCTGCCTTCTAGAGGATCAGCGGCTGTCGGGGTCCTGCAGCCTCAACAGCGTGGAGAGCAAATACGTGTTCTTCCGGCCCACGATCCAGGTGGAGCTGGACCAGGAGGACAAGGCCGTGAAGGAAATCTACATCCGCGGTGAGGCACCCCCGCAACTCCTCTCTCACCTCCCCGCTAGCGCCGCCCCCCCCCGCCCCCTCGCGCCACCAGACCTGAGGCAGCTTCCTCCTCTCTTTTCCGCAGGCTGGAAGGTTGAGGAGCGGATCCTGGGTATCTTCTCTAAATGTCTGCCCTCCCTCAGCCAGCTGCAGGCCATCAAGTGAGGGGACATGGAGGGGGGTGGGCAGGAGGCCAATGTGGGGGGCCGGGCTCCTGGTGGCTTGGGAGAAAGAACTGAAGGGGCATGGAAGACCCTGGGGACTGTGGGGAGGGGGCTTGCTGAGGGAGGGTGTGGCTGGAGAGGGCGGTAGGGGAAGGAGGTGATGCCCCAGCCATGTTTCTGCACTTCCCCCCAACTCCAGCTTGTGGAAGGTGGGGCTGACTGACAAGACTCTGACCACCTTCATCGCCCTCCTGCCTCTCTGCTCCTCCACACTCAGGTCAGCGACGGGGGAGGCCCCCAGTGCCTGGGTAGCCTGGCTGGGTGCGCAGTCAGAGGGGAGCAGTTTGGGGAAGGGAGTGGCAAGTCCCACCTCCTGCAGGCCTGGCTGGCATCCCTGTGGAAACAGGGTGCAGCTAGTGTCTGTTGGGTTTTGAAACTTCCATCTGACAAGAAGCAGGGTGCCCTTTTCTGCCTCCACCAGTGGCTGAAGAGCCTGACCTTTGGGGCCTCATCCCCTTTTCCTTTCCATCACCCACTCTCCCTGGAGGATTTTTCCCTCACTCCTTGCTCCCTGGAGCCTGACACTGTACCAGGGCTGGTTCTCATCCTCCCGGACCTGGCAGTTCAATGAGGGAGGGAGAAGGATTTAGGAATAGATACTGCAGGGCAGTGTGGGGACTGCGGTGATGGAAGAACGGTTCATGCGGTGGGGGTGGGGATGGGGAGGTGGCTGTGGGGGCAGAGAAGGAGTGCCACCCCATCTTGTGGGTGTGGGGCAGGGAGACATGGAAGGCTCCCTGGAGGAGGAGGTGCTGGGCTGAGCCTGAAGGAGGAACAGGAGCAGGCAAGGCAGGGCATTGGGAAAGGACATTCCTTTATAGAAGGGAGCTGGAGCAAGGTGTGAATAGTGTCACCACAGGTGTGGTTTACTGTATAAAGGGCAAAGCTGATTTGGCCACCCCTGCTTGAGGCTCCCCCAGCACACTTGATTTCTCCTGCTTCACAGCACCCTCACTGCCACCCACTGGCTCGCCCATCTTCCTCCTGTGGATGGGATGGGTGCTTCTGGAGGGCAGGGGTTGTGATTTCTTCAGCGGAAGGTCCTCAGTGCTCCCTGTATAGAACACCATGAAACATATTTTACTCCATCATGGGAATTAGAAACAACTTAACCGGCAGAAAAATAATTATGGAATTTAGCTTAATATGTAAAACCTAAGTCAGATCAACATAATAAGAATAATTTTAGGTGAATGCCACCCAGTTTAGATGAAAGATGAGCCAGCCTGAAAGGCTGAGCAAAGATAATAAATCACGGGAGAAAATTTTTAAATAGAGAAAGTTCTAGCCATTAGTTCAATTTCTGTTGTGACTTAGAAAAAGACCTCCATTCTCTCAGCACTGTTGCAGAAGCCACTGCCTTATGGAGGGTCATGTATTAGTTGCCTATTGCTGTGTAACAAATTACCTCTATACTTAGTGGCTTAAAACAACACACATTTATGATCTCACCATTTCTGTGAGATAAGTCCAGGTGGAGGTTAGCTGGGTGCATCCGGCTCAGGGGCCTGGCGAGGCTGCAGTACAGCTGCTGGCTGGGCCCACAGTCATCTCCCATGGGGCTGGAGCATCTGCTCCCCAGCTCACTTACGTGGCTGTGGCTAAGCTCAATGCCTCCACACGTGAACCTCTCACATGCAGTCTGAGTGCCTCACCACATGACAGCTGATGATCCCAGAGAGTGCCAGAGAGCACCCAAGATGGGAACCAGTCTTTTTATAACCTAAACTTGAAGTGACGTTCCATCACTGTTGCCATATTCCACTCATCAGAAGTGAGTCACTAGGTCCAGCCACAATCTAGGGGAGGGGATTACACAAGGGCATAGATACCTGGAAGTGGGGATCATCGGGGTCATCTTAGAGGCCACCTTACCACAGGTCAATAACTCTGGGGAGTGACCCCTTCACATGGCCACACTTCTGGATTTTTAGTCTGGAGAACTGTCACATACAATTTCCTTTATTGGGGGGCCATTCTTTAACTCAGTTTCCAGGCTGCTCCCTAGAGACCCACATTTCCTCTCTGTCCCCTTCCTTCACCTGGCCTCAGTGGTGCCTCCTGTTTCTCAAATCTCTCCCACCCTCAGGAAGGTGTCTCTGGAGGGGAACCCGCTGCCGGAGCAGTCATATCACAAGCTCATGGCATTGGACAGCACGTGAGACTCACCCCCTTTCTCTGGGCCCGCCCCCCATTCCAAGTTGTCCCTAGTCCCCATTCTTCCTTGCCCCTCTAGCACCTCCCCCAAAGACCCTCAATTCCTGCCCCTCGACCCTCAGACTCGATGGACCTCCTCATGCCCCCAAGTTCATCGAAATTCCTGCAAACGCCCAGGACCCCCTGTTTCCAGTGACCCTCGTCTCCCTTCCGCTGCCCAGGATCGCTCACTTGTCTCTGCGGAACAACAACATCGACGACCACGGAGCGCAGCTCCTGGGCCAGGCTCTGTCCACGCTACACAGCTGCAACCGGACCCTGGTCTCGCTCAACCTGGGCTTCAACCACATCGGGGACGAGGGCGCCGGCTACCTCGCGGACGTGCGTGAGCGGCGAGGAGGGACCCACGGGAGCTGGGACGGCCCGGGTCCCGCCGGCTCACGCGCCCCCTCCCTGTCTGCCCAGGGCCTCCGGCTGAACCGCTCCCTGCTCTGGCTGTCCCTGGCTCACAACCGCATCCAGGACAAGGGCGCCCTGAAGCTGGCCGAGGTGAGTTGCCGACTGGGTGGGGCCGGTGAGCGGACTCCCGCTCTGGGGCGTCTGATCGCGAGGTGGCGCCTCGCCGCAGGTCCTGCGCCCCTTCGAGTTGACGCACACCGAGGTGGTGGAGCGCCGGCGCCTCCTGCTGGAGAAAGGGCCGCTGGAGCGAATGCGATCGGTGAGGAGCCGCCGGAGCCGAGAGCCGAGCCCCTCTTAGCCCTCCAGGTCGGCTGCTTTTCAGCAAGCTGGCCATGTCCTAATGTGTCCTCTGGCCCTCTGTCGTGACCATCTTTTTCTGTGACTTCTGCACAGATCTAACAAACATTTGGGCTTTAACGGCAGAACCACTCTATGGGCAGTAGAGGGTATTGGCTAACAGAAAGGACTAGATTTAGACCGCCTGTGCTTGACATTGGGCTCATCTACATAACAGCTTGTGACCTTGGACATGTTATTTAACCCACCGGTCACAGTTTCTTCATCTGTAGAATCGGAATGATTTTACCTACCTCATAGGCTTGCTGAGAGGATTAAGGGAGTTAATTCACGCGATGCACTTGGAACAGAGCCTAGCACTTAGTTCAATGAAAGTTAGCTACTATTTTCTCCCTCAGTGTGAGGGTCACAGCCCCCATGCCCACCCCCCAGCTCATCCCCAGATCCCTCTGCCCTTTCTTCCCAACAGCACCTCCCCCTAGAGGAGTCTCAGGCAAATTATTTTGGCACTTAGGCAGGGAGATGGGGGTGGGGTGCTGCCCAACCGAATGCTGCCCAGGCTCGAGGCTCCCCCTCACCTCTCGCCGAGGAAGGGGCGCTGGCTTCTGGCTTCTTCCTCCATCCCCTCCCATTTGTGAGCACAGCCTTCCTCCTCTCGACATGGGGAATCCAAATCAGATCGTGAGAAGAGTCAGGCGATAGGGGCCAGCAGTGTTGCCCTGGTGGACAAGGCAGACAAAGTGCAGACAATGAAGACCCCCAAGGGCCTGGGCAAGAAAAAGGAGAAGTCAGGGGTAGGTGTACTGTGGGCAAGAGAGCCTTGGGCCCTGGAGGAACGGGGGAGGCAGCTTCCGTGGGGTGGGGCACAGGTGGGGGCGGAGGGAAGAAGGCCTTTGAAGGCCCACCTCAGGCCCGGGGACCTAACGCGGCCCTGTCCCACACCTGCTCCCTATCCCAGGGGAGGTAGGACTTTCATCTCTTTCCTAACGTCCTCCACAGGAAGTGGTGAAGAAAGATGAGAAGTCAGGGTCTGCGCAGTCGCCTGTACAAGGAAGCCCTAAGAAAGAAGACTCCACAAAGGCAGGCAAGGGGAGTAAGTGCTAGTGCCCTGCCGCGGCACCTTCTTGGTGTGGAGGAAGGAAGAGCACTGGGCAGGGTGCAGGAGAGCTGTTCTCAGCCTCGCTGTGTGCTCTGAGCTAGTCCTCTGGTCATGTCCCTCTCTGGGCCTAATTTCCTTCTCTGGGTGAGATGTAGAAAGCCCCACCGGGCCCCACATCCTGACACATCACACCACACACTTTGTTTCCCTGGGCTGGACCCCCGTGGCTCAGCCCTCAGAAAAAGAACCACCTGCCTAGCAAGGGGCCCCCTCCAGCTCTGTTTCTATTGCACCCAACCCAAAGTTTGAGGAGCCTCCTTTCTTGCTCCAGCCCACTCTCTCTGGGGAACATGGGTGGTATCAGAGTTCTGCACTGTGCATTCTGGCTCCTCTTCCCACACCAGAGGTGACCATCCCTGAGCAGAAACCAACCAAGGGAAAAGGGCCCAAGACTGGAAGCAGAGAGAAGCGCAGCATCCTCCTGGAGTCAGAGGTAGGCTGCAGGAGAAGTGGGGTGGGGATCCTTGGGACCCGGGCTGCCCACGAGCTCTTACCCCAGCCCCTCCTGGAACGTGGTCTCCAGCCCTGGACTGTGGCAGCAGCCACTTCAGTTCACTTTCTGTCTTCCAGTCCTCTTACCACACCTGAACCCCCGCAGCCCCCTCCCAAGCTGGCCTTGCTGGCGGATGATAGAGCTTAGCGCTCCCCCTCTCCCCTGCCTTGTTGACTAGGAGCCCACACCCTGCACTTTTGATGTGCTGTCTCAGCTCAGGCTACTTCCCAAAAGGCCATTGGTTCACCGTCACCACCTCCATCATCTGCTTGCACAGTGGCACAGGGAACAGAGCACGTGGTCCTCAGCCCCTCTCAGCAGAGCCCCAGGAAGGCAGGGCGTTTTATAGTAGTTTTTATAACCCTGGGCACGGCTCCTTCAGACCCCTTCTCCTCTGCCCCTGGAGCCTCCGTTTTCCCTTTCAACTTGTTCCTTGCTTCAGGAACTGCCAACTCCATAGGTCCCATCCTTCCCCAGGCCTCCAGCTGGAGGGTCTGTCTCTGTCCATCAGGAGACCTCCCTTGCCCTGGGCAGGGAATGGCCCCCTCCCCTTTTAGGAGTCTTCTCTGGTACCCAAGACAAGATCTTACGAAAGAGGAAGTTCAGGTGGAGAAAGGGGGTGGAAGCTGCCTTTCAATTCCCAGTTTTCTTTGTCCCTGCCCGGGTCTTCCTCCAGGCTGCTGCTTCTCACCAGGACTACTGCAGTTTCTTCTCATCCTGCCTTCAGTGTCATTTCCCTCCAGTCATTGCCCTCTTTGCTCTAGCTGTTAGGAAATCCTTAGTGGGACCCAAATGTGACAGACTGCTTCACGCCCCAGAGCCTTTGCACCTGCTGTTTTCTTTGCCTCGAACACCTTTCCCTTCTATCTTCATCTGTAACGACCCCATACCATTCAAACTTCGGCTCACAGGCTGCCTCCTCCAGGAGACCCTTCCTGACTCCCAAGACTGGGCTAGATGTCCCTCCTCCATGTTCCCAGTGCTCTGAGCTTACCTCTGCCACTTGTCACACCATACCCCATTACTGTCTCACTTTCTGGCTCCCCCACACCAAGTTGCTTCTTGAGGGTATGGGCTTATTTATCTTTGTATTCCCAGCACCTAGGACAAAGCCTGGACTATAGCCGGCCCTCAAAACATGTATGTTGAATGAATGAATGACTGGCCTGTTGACCAGCTCCCCTCTCCTCTGCTGCATTAGTATTCTGCTTTAGCAGCTGGTTACTGAAGCTATGGAGATGGTCAACCCTCTCCTGGAGCCTGTAGAGCACCGAGATGGGAAAGTTTTCATGCCTGGGAACAAGGTCCTTTTGCACCTCAACCTCCTCCGTATGTGTGCCAACCACCCCTGCCCCCCTGCCGCAAGGCTACCTGGGTCCCACGCTGCCAGGAGGGTGCCCCACCCGACTCCACGGAGCAGAACGTGGTTCTCCTGTGGATGGGCTTTGTGCTGTCAGAGGCCCTCTTGCAGGGAGCTTTGGGGTGAGGGAGGCAGGCCCTGGGTTGGGCAATTAGAGAGTAAGGAGGGGCGGGAGAGAGCACTGGGGTGGAGAATACCAAGGGTGAGGGAAGTGAGACAGAGGAGGGGTCAGAGGAGGAGGGCTGGGGTGAGGGACCAGGCAGGGGGTAGGCCTGGGCTGGTGGGTGGGGTGCAGGGAGTTGGTTGTGCACTGAGATGGGGGTGGGTGCCAGTGAAGCTGGCGGTGTAAGCAGCCACCTCATCTCCTCTTCCACCAGGAAACCGCATCACAGAGGTGGGGCTGGAGGGCTTCCTCAGCACGGTACAGTACCAGGCGCAGTTCTCCAAGGCCAAGAGTGCGTCCAAGGGCCCCGTGGGGCTGCTGTGGCTGTCCCTGGCGGTGAGTGCCATCACTCTCCTGCTGCAGGTGGCTTCTGTGGCTCCCCATTTTCGAGGCAGGCCTCCAGTGCCCCTCATTCTTTTTATCACAACATAACCTGAGTCCCTCTTGCTGCAAGATCAGCAGTCCTGCCCACTTTGCCTTTTCTCCATGTCCCCCAACCCCGAACCCAGGATGTTTTTTTCCCCCAGAGGACTAATCTTTCCTCTGTCAGCTGTCAGCCTTCCTTTCCCTCCTTCAGAAAAACTGCTTCTCCCCACAATGTCCTACGTACATCATGATCCAGGAGCTGATGCTGCCAAGGGACCCCATCAGTAAGGCCAAGTCCAGGGAGGAGGAGGCCATGGCTTCCTCCACCTAGCCCCTCCCACCTTCCTCCCAGACACTGGGCCACAGAAGCTTCTCCTGTCCCTGCGTGGGCTGACCTCCCTGGAGGAGATCTCAGATTATGAACAAATTCTATTGCTGTACTTTTTTCCTTGAGGTTGTTTGAAAACTTTGTTCCAGAACTACTTGAAACATTTGGACTCTGAGCCTGTTCATGTTACATGGCCAGAAATGGCTGAATCACTTTACAGTTCTGCTGGGGATGCTCTCAGCCCCTGTGGCGTTGGCCAGCCAGGGCCTTTGCTCTCCTGCCTCCTCAGGGCCTAGCTCTTGCCTGCTCAGGCCAGTCACTCCCCTGTGTTCCCCAGAGGACAGGCCATGCGCCTGGGTTTGCATTCGGCCTTTGGTCTCAGAGGCAGAAGGGAAGGACTTGGGATTAGTGACCGATGGAGCCCGGGCCCCACCTTTCCCTCCCCTGCGCCCACCCCCTCCTGCTTCTCCCTGGCTGGCCCAGGTGTCTGACTGGCTTGGAGGAGAGGCAAGGGCTCAGCTTAGGAAAATGTGGCGTTGGCAGGTTACTGCAGAGAAGGGCTGAGTCTCAACATCTACACAGCAAAGGCCAAGCCCTACACATGAGCCCGAAGAACACTGCCTGCAGATGCCAGCGACCTGACACCAGGGACTCCCACCCGGCATGGGGCCATGTGGGTGGGAAAGCTGGGGACCCCGTGTCTCTGCCCTTCAGCGTTGCCTGCCCTAAGACAACCCACTGCCATGCCCGGAGAGCACAGGGCCGGCTCCCGGGGAGCTGACGGCCGCTCTACAGGGAGAAGTGTCCCCCGTCACCTCTGGGCAGATTTAACCTGGGCCACACCCCCTGAGCCCCAGTCCCCTCATTCTGTGGCCTCGACAGGGACTTGCTCTGCCTGCCCAGAGCTCCCTCTCTGCGAGGCTCAGTCTCTGCCTCTGCCCGGGGCTGTGGCTCGGCCTCTCGGCAGCCAGCTGCTGAGCTTCTGCAGAGAAGATCGACCAGCACTGAATTCCGCACACCGAGCACATTACAGGTGCTCAGCGATGATCAGTCACCTCAGCTTCTCCAGTTATCCCTGCCCAAGTCCGTCTAAAGCTGCGGCGCACCCCAACAGCCCCCGTCCATATCCCGACACTTGATCACCAGCGACTCGTCTATTAGTTCTGATGCCCAGCTAGACCGTAAGCTCGCGAGGTCAGCGTCTAGCGTTATGCTACGTCTAGGAGGGAGAGTATGAGCTAGTTAGGGCTGAAAGAGAATCTGTCCCTTTCTCCAACAATGAAGGCAAAGAGACAGAGGAGTTTGGATGGTTACAGTCCTAGGGATGGGGATGTGGCTGTGGCTGCCGTGCTGGCCTCCAGGGTTGTCAGGGCCTGCGGGAAGGATGTGGACGGCTGATGACAGTGACAACTGGCCAGGACTCTGAGGTGACCCTCCCCATATGTTTTCCCTTTTAAGTCCTAAAGCTCATTGAGGGCAGTTCATGAGGTCTCCTGACTGGGTCCTCTGCTCCTTTGTATATATGTGTGTGTGTGTCTAAATTAAGTGAGTTCAGTGTCTTTTCGTTTGGGCCACAGGGGCTGTGTAGCTCAGTTTGCCCCACTGCAGTTCCGTGAGCACACATCTGAAGCTCTGGGAGAGAATATGGCAGGACCTGGGTAGGGGGCTTGATGCGGGGTCAGGGGAAGGACACGACGACACCTCCTTCTGTTCCCTCTATCCATTTCTAACCACCCTCTCAGGGAACCAACCACAATATCTTTTATCACAGCACTTCTAAGAATCACACACACACCACCACAGTTGAAGAATATTTAACTTTTCTTAAAAAAAAAATCTTAACCATGAAAGGAAGAAAATAAAAGAGTATACATTATTTTAACAGCAAAACAGTCATTTCCATATCTATATTTTATATATTATATATATTTATATATATATATGTATATATACACCTAGCACAGTGTGTATATTCTATTTGTCAGTGGGGGAGTGGAGTGGACATGGTAACAGGGGCCAACGCTGTGGTGGCTCCTGGGGATGGTCCTGGTTAATTCGGGGACTCCAGCATTCAAACCCCCTCCCCCCACCTCCTGGTGGGGGGCCCAGTTTTCAGCTCCATACCTGATACACTGGTTTTCTATGGGGGGGGGGGGGGAAGGGTGGTCACAGATGGGGTAAGATTTCCCCTGAAGATGAGAAGTCCTAGGAGGAAGGGAGCAGCTCGGCACCCAGCTAGGCGGCCAGAGGCCAGGAGACCTTTCCGCCCACAGGGGACTGGGGCACTCAGGGCCGGCTACACCTTTGGGCCCTCATCCTGAGCTGGGTGTTAACCAGGAGGTCCAAGTGAACCTCCCCTTCTCTCAGCAGTCCCTTCTATAACTGCCTCCAGCACCCCAGGAACAGAAACAAAAAAGGTCAAAGTTATTTACAATAGCAAAGATGCACTTACAATACATACATATTTATAGGAAACCAAAGTGACAAAGAGGAGAGGTGGAGGCCCCCACCCCAGCCTTGGGGTCCTGTGGAGAAAGGGAGGGAGGAAGAAAGTGCATTTACACAGAAGCCTCCTCCCTTCACTTGCATGTCTGAGGGCACCCACACATACAGGCGGACACGCGCACGGGGGACGGGGGCCTTTCGGATGCAGTTAGCATGCTTAGGAGACACGAGGCCTTGGAGGGGGGCTGAAGGGAGGGAAAAAAGACACTGGAACTTGACTCCGATCTTAGCAGACCAAGCAACATGCGGGTCTCCCCCCTGGGTCTCGGCTGGATCCGTCTCCTCAATTGCCTCCACCACAGGGAGGAGGTTAGGGGTCTCCCCACCCTGTGCCCCTGAGCAGGAGTGGGCTGCAGAGGATTTGGTGGTGTGGACAGTTACAGCCCTGGGGATGTGGCTGCCTCCGCCGTGCTGTCTTCCAGGGGGGTGTCGGAGCCTGTGGAGGATGCAGGGATGGCATGAGGAGCTGGCCTCTGAGGTGGGCCTCCCTCTGATGTTTAGCCTGGAAAGTCCTCAAGCTCGTGAGAGCAGCTCCTGTGGTGCCATCTGTCTGTGACAAGGTGCTCTCCTCCAGAAACCCTTGAGTTTCTTGTGGGGCCTGGAGAGGGCTGTCTCCTGAACCCCCCTTTTGTTTTGTCGGCCCCTGAAGCCCGTAGGCAGGCATGTGCTTTGTCTCCCTGAGATGGAACACAGCCTTGTGGCTGGCCCACTCAATCTGATTCTGAACCGTTTAATAAGAACGGATTTTAGATGTGAGACTAGGCTCACCCTGGTTCATTATCTCCATAACCCAGGAAATAGAGGCTTCTATTTTAAGTTTCCCATTTGAGGGGAGTTTCTGTGGGGCTTCCCTAAACAGATCTCTTTCTGAAGCTGAGGGATGAATTAACTGTACCTAAGGGCAAGTGAGACCCCTTCCTCAGAGCCCTCGCTCCCCTCACACTGCAGGTGACGTTTCCTCCCGAGTTGGAGGCCTTCTCCCCCAGCATAGGTACAAAGAGGGGAGCGGCTTTACTCACCATCCTCAGGGCAGGGCCCCAGTTCCTGGCTGTCCCTGGAGTCAGAGGCTAGGGGCTCCTTGGCTGGAGGTGACAGGGTGCTGTTTGTCCATCTAGCCGCCTCTGTGTGGAAACTGCCCACAGGCGTGGTGCCGCCAGATGACTCTCCCCCGAGGGACCTGAGCAGCTCTCTGTGGGCCAGCTCCATGTCCTGGAAGAGTTAGTTGCAGGGGGATGTGTGCCCTCGAGTCCTCCTGTTCATAAGGTCCCTGGGGAAGGGACCAGGCTCTCTTATCTGTGCTGGGCCCTAGGGATGGGGCTGTGCTTGAGTGAGGCTAGGTGCGAGGAGGGAAGAGCCCCAGGCCAGGATCTAAGGCTCCCAGGGACACACCACAGAAAGCCTCCAGGGACCCAAGTCCCGTTTCCCTTACCTTGAGCCTGTTGAGCTTGAGGGTGAGCTGTTCAATGGTGCGGAAGATCAGACCCACGTCCCTGAGGGCCAGGCTGGGGGGAGAGTGGCCGGGGCGCCTCTGATCTTCATTGCTTCCCAGCCGCTGGGGCCGAGGCTCAGTCTGCCAGGCAGGGAGGCTGTCAGGCTGGGAGGGGTTCGTGGGTACCTCTGAGGGGTCGCTGCTTGAGTCCAGGGGTCCTGCTGGCATGCTGACATAAAAACAGTTCCCTGTCCCCACAGCAAGAGAGAGGTTAGGAGTCAAACAGAGAGAAGTCGAAGCCCTCCTCCCTCCCATGGTGTTCCCCGTGCCGAATGACAGGGCCAGGGAAGGCACCACAATGAGCGCAGAGCGGGCTGGCCTCACGCCGCCTGCCCGTCCCTCATAGCTCTCCTCCTCCAGAGCCTTCCAGATAGCAGTTTGCTGAGCTTGGCCCATAGCAAGGGAAGTGGTGGAAGTTACGAGAAAGTGGCAGGGGCTCCGTGTTTCATCTGGGAAACATGGAGTGGCTCTGCTCCTTGGTCAAGAGGGGTGGGCTGGTTTCGGGGACCTGTGAAAGGAGCGGGCGGCGCCTCCTTCACTCTGCCCCGTCTCAAGCTCTGCTGTGAACTTCAGCCCCACCCCCTTCGCCAACCGCCATCTATTTCATGATGCGAGAGACACCTCAGCTCATCAGAGGGGGCTTGGGGCAGCTGGAGGAAGGCCATGGTGGGTCCCTGACAGGGCAGTAAGCATAGGAAACACCGAGGAACCTGGGAGGCCAGGTAAGCCTGTTTCCACGGTGACCTTGGAGTTGTGGCTCAGACAGTCATGCTAAGGACACTGGGCCTCCTTGCCCAATCTCAGGACAGCACAGACTGCCAAACCTACTGTTCTGAAAGGCACCTGGGCAGCTCTTGACAAGTGGGTGGCACAGAGTCTGTTTCCCTGTTTTGAGGCCCATGTCCTACTCCCTCCCCATTCCAGACAATTGAGGGAATGCACGGGTGTGTCCCCCCATGTGACTGCAGGTAGGGCTCCAACTCCCAAAGCCCAGCTCTGCCCCCACAGGCCCCTCGCTCCAGCCCTGGCCTGTCTCTGGCTCCAAGGAGAAGTTCATTACCCGTAGCCTTTGCTCCGCCTTCCACTTCAGGTGGCTCAGGCTCTGACTGGCCACTCTCTGGTAGTGCAGGGACAACCTTGCTGCCTGCCACCTCAGCTGCACCAACACCACCACCACCAGGGAGAGCAGAGACCGAAAGAGAAGGAAAGGGAAGGGAGAGAGAGCAGGAAGGAGAGGGAGAGAGAAGGGGGAGTGGGGATGGAGAAAAAGAAAAAGGGAAGAACCAAATGAACACAGGATCACTCATGATTACACCCCAGGGAGCTGCAGAGAACCTTCCACCAATTCACCGAAGGAGAGAAGGAAGGTCAGTTCCCAGAAACCAAGGAGAGGGCAGACCTTGGGCAGACAGAACGAAAAGTGTTCTTGGAGAGGGAGGCAGAGCTGTGCACTCAGGGAGGCTAGGAAACCCCCTCGCACTAACTCAGGCCCCATCCACCCGTCGCGGGCACCCCAGGCCTCATTTCGTCTTTCCCGCCACACTCCTCAGACCAGTATTCATCCTCAGCTTACTCCTCCCTGCACCTAGGGCCTCCCTCCCCAGGGCTCACTGCTCTGGCCAGGCAAACCTGTCCTGAGCACGAACCCTGGCTAGTCTCAGCTTTTCTTGTCTTAAAGCCCCCCATGGTTTTCCACAAGCTGGGGCGCACTCCCTACCTCCTTGCTCATTCGTGACCCCCCCCCTTACCCTCCATGTGTCTTCCCAGCCTTGTTGCACAGCCCACCCCCAACTGCTTGACGTCTAGTCCAGCTGCCATCTCCACCCCTCACACTGCCAGCTCCTTCATCACTGCTTTCTGGACCGACTGGCTGCAAGCATCCGCCCTTGTCTTTCCAGCAGTGAGGCTTCTGAGAAGAGCCTCATCCTTTCCTTAGGACTGGGACATGGGTGAAGAACACCAGCCGAAACTTGCTGAGAGCTGATTCGTGCAGGCAGT